TTATTTCCCACAAATTGAAATTTCATGGGATTTCGCACTTCCCTATTGAACCAAACGACCCCTTATATTGTATATAATGCACAAACATAGATAAAGCGATACATAAATGGTGTAAAAGTCAGATTAAGAACTTATTTTAAAACAAAATGAGTATTAAAAACTTAAAAGAAATAATAAAATATCCTTTTAAAAAAAAAGGGGAATGAAAACGAAAGAAACAAAAGATGGGGAAACAAGAAATTAGGACATTGAAGTTGATGATATTGGGCCAGCTATGAAGTGGGGTAAGATCCAAGTCCCATGGCCCCAATTTCACGTGCGACTCATGCTCACCTATCACCATCTCCAGCCACGTGTCCTTTATACATTTCTTTTTCTTTAATTTTTTAATAACAAATATCACACTTACACAGTTACACGGGTCATCATCCTTGACAGTATAACTCAATAATCAAATGGACCACACGAGCTTTCAGCGTTTTTCTAGAATCCAGGTGAATTGAATTGCGCAGAAAGGTGACCTGAACCCTCTAATTTTATTTTTATTTTTTCTTTATTTTTAAATATGTTCTCTTGGATAACGACAAACATTAAATGCATTTTCCTAAATTACCCTTGTGTTATAAATTTGTCCACGTATGATTTCTTCTTCTATGGTTTTCGTGTTTCAGAATCCAGGTGTATGTTGTAAGACTGTTACTTGGAGTTTTAGGCATCATGTATCATACTAGATTACTATTAATATGAGCAAATATTTTTCAATGAAAACAACAAAATATAAAAAATGTTATACATTTCAGTTATCCCGGGAATCACATTTGCAAAATCGACATACAATGGTATAAGAATTAAGATTTGTTGACAATCTGAAGTTTTGAACACGATAAGTTTCTAGCTAAAGCTTGTATTTTCGTGTGGATTTGAATTGCTTGTTCCGTTCACAAATAGTATTCATTTTAGGTTTGGACATGTATCTTATCGAGACTAATACAAATTAGTAATATCATATAAATATATATGGCAAATTATATATGTGCAAGTGCATTAATAACATGTATTAGCCCACATTTTTAATTAAAGTGAAGAACTTTAATATATAATTCAAGTGGATTAGTTCTCATATTGCAAATCAAGTTTAGGATCAAACCTCTCTTAGCTAGGGGTTAGGGCTTAGGGCTTTGTTAGTGTGTTTCATTTTGGTGTCCTTGCTTATGTTGGAATCTCTTTAAACATGATAATTAGAAATGAGATCTTTCACTGATGATGATTGACAAGTCTCTTTACATGAGAGGCTTTTAATTTCTAAATATTTGTCTAAAGCAATTTTAAAGCAATTGTGCTACATTAATAATAATAAAAAAATGTTTCTATAATTATAGCTTGAATTCTCTAATGTTAGATACTCCCTACATTTTTGAAGGTTGACTTGGCTTGGTTTATTGAATTTTTAAGCTCATTTGATGGGAGAGTTCCAAAATGAGCTAAAAAATTTACAACATACAAGACATGAAAATTTGACTGAAATCAGTACAACATGAACACAAACCTAAATAAAAGTTTAACAAAATAATCTGAAGACAAAATCAACTCGAGCACAACCCGGTGTGGTTTGATCATATCAAGCAGTCATATTATTGATAAGATAAATCCTACATTTTACATTGAAACAGTACGACTAGTTTATCGTATACTCGTATTACCAATTCTATTAGGAGTAGTACCACATTAAAAGACTTGTACTTCTTCCGTTCTTTTAATATCGCATCACCTGTCTTTTAGGGAAGTTTCACAAATATTGCATTACTTCCATTTTAGGGCAAAAAATATCTATGCTCACACTGCAAATACCCAACATACCCTTATTTTTTCACACTTACTTTTTATTTTATCTTTATATTACATGGACAATTTTGTATTTTTACGTTTCTCTCTCTTACTTTTTCCCACTACCAAATTTTGCCTCCAAACCCCTATGATGCAATAAAAAAAGAACGGAGGAAGTATATTAAATTACTCCCTCCGTCCCATAATACTTGGGACGTTGGGGTGAACACGTAATTTAAGAAAACTACAAGTGGGTCCATTTAAAACATTTGTTTATTATATAAAAGATTTTGTTTTTATATTTTTATATTGTAAGAATAGAACAAGTGGGGTGGAAGTGGGATAAGTGAGTATAGAGAAAATGTGGAAAAATATTATTTTATTAGTGGTCTCATTCCATATTTAGTAACATGTCAAATATTGTGAGACAGACGAAAATAGAAACTGTGTCAAGTATTATGGGACGGAGGGAGTATACTTGTACTACACCTAATTTAAAACATACAAGTACTAATAAATTAAGGTGTAAATAATATGATTACTAATTTTAATTAATAGATTTAAAGTTTCTTTTTTTTTTTTGACGGGAGATTTAAAGTTTCTTAACAAAACTAGAAATGAACAATATTGTGTCCTTAATTAAAAATAATGATGGATCGGGAGCATTATCTACACTTATTAAGAAATTAAAAGAAAACAACATAATGGTTTTCTCTAACTATTTAAGGAGACACAAGACTTTTTTTTTTTTTTTTTGATAAAAGACACAAGACTTTATAAACCCTTCACTTATCTATTGATGTCATCATATATATCTTGATATCTTCTATAGCCAAGGGAGTCTTATCACCAAGAGCTTGAAGCATCATCCTTAAATTCGTAGCTCTCCATGAAACTTCTTCTTACCGACTTTATTTCATTTATTTATATTTTATTTTGAAGGATAACACATAGTATGGCATAATTTATTGGATAATACGAAGTACAATAATACGGAGTTTATATTCTACATTTGTACGAGTACTTTTCAAAGGATACACGTAAAGAATGAATCATATTTTGGTGTGGCTAGGATTGTTTAATTAATTACTTGAAGCTCCAATGCAATACTATCATTTACTGGAGTACATATACAGTTCAAGAGAAGGAATATTTAAGAGGAAAACCCTTGTTTAGTGATACCATTGCGCTTTACTGTGTCATATGGATAGATAACATAAATTGGTACAAATACACTTAGATCAAAATCAGTTCACACATCTCAAGAAGTAAACACCAATATAACTTTGATATGATAGTTGGTGAAGTTTAATTTTAATACATTTCCTCGATCGATCTGTTTTCTTAATATTGAACCATTTATGTGATACATATATCAAGGTACAATTTCAATCATTATTACAACGTATTTTTAATTATATATTGAGTAATAAATTTGTAAAACTTTTATTCGATACATACATTAAGAATTCTTATTAAGACATTTGAACATCATTATATAATAATTTTTATTTTTATATATTACGAGTAGTAAAAACATTTGGTTAAAATACTCTAGTAAACAAATAGTGTAAAAGTTAAAACAATTTAATTTTAAGAACTAAAAAAGCGTTTTAGATTGAGGTTTAATATTTATTAGGGATTTTAAGTGAGAATATTTTTTTCAGAACTTACAAGCAACTTGTTGTTTTTGCACTTTAGCCATATAACTTAATTAAGAATTTAAAGTTATGGAGGTTGTGGTCATGAGGATAAGGTTGTCAAATTTTGGCAATTTAGAATATAGATTGGACTCAATAAATTTATATGAATATGATGAATATTGAATAGAATACGCAATCTACATAATTAATAATCTTTGGATGATAATAATGCAGATCAGCATTGATTCCTACAATTTCATCTAGCAATACTAATTATAGTACATTGAATTATTGAAACCTTCACCTAAAAAAATAATTAATTTAATAAAGCGACATAATGTTTATCTTAAAATATTTGTCTATGGTTAGGTCATTTTAAATCTTTTTGTTTAATCTCTTACGAAGTACGGAGTGTATTTTTATTGTAACAAATACGATAATTGTAATTCAAATTAACTCTCAAATTCGGACTACAAAATAACTTTAACTTTAAAATGAGTCAATATAATAACATACATATTTGAAAATATGGACGGATGCGGATTCAAATTACGGCGTAATTTATAATTCAAGCTTAGGCTTACGGCTTACCTCTGTGGATTTGATCGAAAATCAAAATAATCGAAGTCAAGTGAATGGTTGAATTTACACCACAAGAGTTTGTAAAACCATACAAGTAACTGTTTAGTCTTTACATATTGGAGTTTTATAACAAGAAGTGCAAAAAGACAATTAGGATATTAATAAATCTTTATCCATCTCTATCTACTTTTTGTCAGCTCGTCAATAATATCCATCACGCCAAAGATTAATCCGTAAAAATGTACACGTCAATAAACCACGTCGATAAAATGAACCTGTAGTACAACTACGATTTGATACATAGTGGAACACAAAAAAAAAAACCGATTTGATACATAGTAGAACATCATTCAATTGTTTCATTTTTTGCCCTTAAGCTTAAAAAAACTAAGAATTATACACTTGCTACATTTTACAAATAATGCACCAAATTGACTTTCATACTTGCTATCAACTTTGATCTTTAATATGTTTAGATTCAATAAGTAAGATAATAATTAAAAGTTGATACATAAAAAGTACAAATTGAGAAGATACTAGCAACTAGCAAGATATCACATAACTATAATATAAATCACAATAAATTGTTAAACGAAAGCATTCGAATAGTGTAAAAATTAACATGGTGCAATACTTTTAAAATGAAGTATACGAGTAAGTTTTACATGCAATCTTATACTCCTATGAGATACAGTTATATGTACAAAGTACAATAATTACCCTTTTTTTTTTAATATTAAGTTTTGGTTAAGTGAAGTTTCGAGTAAAATATTATCCATACTTTTTAGTTTTTATGAGAATAAAGTTGTCCAGGTATGTTAAGCGAACTTTAAGAGATAAAGGAAGTGTTTTTTTTTTCCTAAAGAAAGTAATTAAACAACAATAAATGAAAAATGCAGTACACTAGGCAACTTTATTTATCCAAAAAAATTTCATTTTTTCTGATAGGAACACTTGGCAACTGTTAATAACTTGGCTAAACCTTTAATAAAGTAACAGTATTAAAAATTAAAACATCGAGGGGTAAATTTGTAACTTCATAGGATAGAGAAAATTTGATTGGATCGAAACCTTATCCACAAAATCCATTATAAATTGGCGTTACCCATTTCTAGACTTTCTTGCCAACTCCATTGCCAACTACCCAATCATCATCATTCTTCTTCCTATTTCATTTTTCTCAACCAATTTTTCCTAACCCGAAAAATAATAATTATAAAATACAATTTGATCCGAACAAAAATAAAAATGGCGAGTACGAAGAGTTACATGATGGCAAGAAGAGCGAGCAACTACCGTTTCCTAAGCAACGATCCGATCCAACCATCTCCGATCAAAACAACAACCGAGTTAGAGTTCGAGGAATCCGACGTTTGGGGCGGGTCAACCCGATCCGACCCACCCGAGTCACCAACGAGTTGGCGGAAGTCAAGGAGACCGATAGCAGCGCCGACTCCAACAAGGAGTCAAAGTAAGTGCGTAGTAGGCGGAGATGCGGTGTCGTTGCCGGTGAACATTCCAGACTGGTCGAAGATACTCCGGGAAGAGTATAAGGCTGACAAGTGGAGTTTTGGCGGCGAGTTTGAGAGTAATGGCGGTGGTTGTGGCGGTGATGACGGCGGCGATGAGTGGGTGCCGCCGCATGAGTATTTAGCGAGGACGAGAATTGCGTCGTGTTCAGTTCATGAAGGTGTTGGAAGAACGTTGAAAGGGAGAGATCTGCATAAGGTTAGGAATGCGATTTGGGAGAAAACTGGGTTTCAAGATTAGATTGATTTAACATATTTTTTTAGAATATTTGAATTTGAATTTTTGGGATGAGAGAGAAAATAATTAACCGGCGATTTTAGATATATTATTGGAGTTGTAAGTTGATTAAGAGTTGTAGTGTAAGATTTATTCTGGGAATTTTTTTAACTTTTTCCCAGATATTTTTTTGGAATTTTGTTTTTATTTTTTGTCATGTAGTTTTGATGATGATTATGAAATATGGTGGAAAATCATCTCACTTAATGTAATTTTCGAATGGTGATCTGCTACATTGTGACTGGAATTCGATAACAGAAAGTGTTGTCATTTTTAATTTAGAGGAGTTTATGAATTGTTTTGGGTTATTTAATTTAATTATTGCTGCGTTGATTTTTCTGAATTTTTTTCTGTATTGTTTCAATTTTATTTATGTGGAGTAACATTTTAAAAATGACTTTTATAAAAAGTTTGAAACTCGATGAATGATTGGCTAAAGTTTAGATATTTTATTTTGTGAAAGAATTATTATGTTGAAGGAAAGTAGTTGTGTACTGTAATTAGATTCCAAAATATATAAAATGACAAATTAGTAATCATTTAGACAAGATAGGAGTGACATTATCCGGCGTTTGGAATTTTTTTTTCCAACTTTTTCCTTTTCTTTTTGTGAACTGTTAAACGTAGCTTTCAATTTCTTAAGCGTTCTCCCATTTTAAGATGAAATGACCATTTTACCCTTTTTATAACTTGGGCTATATAAGGGTGTAGCGCTTGGTTCTAAAAGTTTCTTGAGCATTTTAATATTATTCTCGACACCCACTTGATTTAAAAAATTACCGAGTCCCAAAATTCACCACTTGCCTTAAAAAATTTCCAACTCCCAAAATTGTCGGGGCCCACCAACAAAAACCCGAGTTATTTTTAAAAAAATTATTAAGCTTAAACGACGGGTTTAGGACGATGGACAACGACAACGATCGTACACCGGAGGCATTATCGGAGGATTCGGTAAGTTGTCGAACTTTTTTTTATTTTTTGAAATGGGAACATCCGCCTAAAATTTCCGAATCCACCATGGAGGATCCAACAATTTTAGGCGGATATCTCTTTTTTTTTTATTTTTTTTTTTTATTGATAATTAATCAAATCTTTATTGTTCAATTCAATTTATTAATGTAATCTTTGTATGATAATTATATTTTTTTATTGCGATTATTATTATTTTTGTGATAATTTGAGTATTAGTATTATTAGTTAATATTTGTTATTTTTGTGATATTAGTTAATGTTAATGTTAGTTAATATTATTTAATGTTGTGATATTAGTTAATGTTAGTGTTAGTTGATGTTAGTTAATGTTATGATATTAATTAATGTTGTGATAATGTTGTGATAATGTTGTGATATTATTATTGTTATTGTTATTGTTATTATTATTATTATTATTATTATTATTATTATTATTATTATTATTATTATTACTATTATTATTATTATTATTATTATTGTTATCGTTATTGTTATTAGTATTATTATCATTATTATTGTTGTTGTTGTTATTGTTAGTATTAGTATTATTATCATTATTGTTATTATTATTATTAGTATTATTATTATTGTATTATTATTGGTATTGTTATTAGTATGTTGCGTGAAATATGTCGTTATTATTGTGATTAGTAATATTGGAGAATGTTGTGTTTTTTCTTTTATTTTTATAGGATTATTAGTATGTTGCGTGAAATATGTCGTTATTATTGTGATTAGTAATATTGAAGAATGTTGTGTTTTTTCTTTTATTTTTATAGGATTCGGAGTTTGAAGACGGCGGTGACGGTGTGAATTATAGTGCGAATTTTGTCACAGGCACGTTTTTTCCAACGTTTGATGATGCTGTTAAATGGGCAGATGTTGTTTCCATAAATCTTGGGTTTATTTTGGTTAAATCGTCTTACAACAAAACTAGAGATGGTAGGCCATATCGGTATTTGAGATGTGATCGGGGACGAAAGAGCAAGACGAGAGAGTTGTAGAACGCAATTCGAAAGGACACAAAAACCAAAGCTAATGGTTGTCCTTTCTACATCAAGATATATTATGAGTTCGTCACAAACAGTTGGAAGTTCCGGGCAAAAAATGATGCAATTGGGACCCATAACCATCCAATGATTGTGTATCAGGAGGGTCATCGTAAAATTAGTGGCTTGAGCCCGGATGCAATGAAGGTTGTGCGTGACATGACAAAGTCTAAGGTTGCACCGCGTAACATCATGGCAACTATTGCAGAGCAATTCCCTGATGATCATCCAAACATTAGACACATTTACAATTGCCGGAATGACTTGAGAACGGAGATGTCTGGAGTTGTTCAGCAATTTCTTGAATTGGCGAGACAGAGTCAGTATATTTACTAAGTCATGGCTGATGACCTCGGCGTTCTACAACATGCATTTATGGTGCACCTATCACGGTAAACATACTACGCAAGTACCCACACGTGATCGGTATGGATTCGACATATAAGACCAACTGATACGGGATGCCGTTCTTTGAGATAGTAGGTGTGACACCGACAAATCAGAATTTCCTCGTCGGTTATGTGTTCATGCGCAACGAGTGCACGACAAGCTATCGGTGGGTCTTGCAGAGATTAAGGGAGTTGATTGGGTATGATAGAGAGCCATCGGTATTTTTGACAGACCGTGAGCTTGGCCTCTGTGCGGCTTTGAGAGAAGTGTTTCCAGGGACGTCGCATTTTCTTTGTCGATGGCACATTAATAAAGATGTAGAGGCTAGGGTGACGGATATGTTCAAAAACAAGAGGATCGGTGCGAGTTTTAAAAACGGTAAATGGAAACGTATCATGGATGCTGCAACCGAGGCGAATTATAATGCTGCTGTAGATACAATGAAAGCTCGGTGGGCAAGTTATCCGGCAGTGATTAGTTACGTTGAAAGAACATGGCTTTGTCATAAAACCAAATTTGTGACATTTTGGACGAACCAAGTTCTTCACTTTGGTAACACGAGTACTTGCAGAGTTGAGAGCCAACATTCGGCCGTGAAGACGTGGTTTGAATCATCGATAGGTTTGTTGTTATAATGTTGTAGTTGTTGCATTTACTTCGTCTTTGTTATTTTAATTATAATTCATAACGTTCTTTTATAATTTGAATTTACGAGTTCTTTGGATATCGTATGGGCTCGAGTACATTGACATATTGGTAATCAGATCATTGCAATTCGTAATGGTTTGGAGGCTTCAAGGTCGAAGATTGGTAAGAAGTACAGACAATTGCCACTGTCACGTATAAACGACAAGGTGTTTCAGCATTGTTTGAAAGTTCTCGATGATGAGACGAGAAGGATGAGGGAGTTGAGTTACCATGTGTATGAGCGTTGTGGATGTGCAATGCGTGTGACCCATGGTTTGCCATGTGCTTGCCAGATACATGATTCCCTAGTTGCACAGTCAAGCTTGTATATCAGGCAAATTCATCCATTCTGGAAGACCTTGGTTATTGGTGATGGTGTTGATGTACCTGCGTTCGTTAACGACTCGACCGAGGAAGCTGCACATTTTCTTCCCTAGTTGATGAGGTCATTGGTAGTGATCCTGCTGTATTTCAAAATGTATCTCGCATCATTGAGGAGGAGTTGCATCCCGATCATTCAAACCTTGGAGAACCACATGTAAACCACAACGTTCGAGGTCGACGAAGGAACAATGATAGAAGACGTGATCCTTGTTATTTCGAACATGTCAACCGTCGAAACACTCAACGTGGTACACAATAAACAGGAGCGACCTCAGGTAAGTCAATATATTTGCACTTGTGAAGTACACGCCTATTGTGATTTACACGTATTTCATCTTGTAGCGTACTAATAACTGAACATTAATTTTGTGCAGAAGATCCATGTGACATCAGCCAATGCAGGTATTTGCACTTGCTTCCAGGACCGATGTTGCCTTACATCACGGCATGGAAGGATGTCATTGGTGATGGTATCTGTGGCTTTCGTTGTGTGGCTGACTTCTTCTTTGGTGATCAAGCGCAATGGTTTGACGCTCGGGAAACAATAGCAAACGAGGTCGCCGCTCATCCAACGTTGTATGAAAGGATTTACGGGATTGGAAGGGTTTGGATGAATGTAGAACGTATGCGATGGGATATGGGGGCAGTTGATTCACGGCGTTGGATGGTTGTAATTCAGGATTTATTTCCTATTGCTACTTGGTTCAATGCACGGGTGATTATTCTCGGTGTAGGCACCGTACCGACCTGCTACTACCCATGCCTCATGATGTTACCGTTGTGGGCACGAAACACGGTCAGGGCACCCGCTCGAGAGTTCATGATCGGTACAGTTGGTGGGTCACATTTTATCCGTCTTGATCTTGCACAAGATTCACCTCTTCCCCAGATTGCAGGTTGGTGGATCGAGCACCACGAGCCCAGTGTTGATGGATGGGATCAGCAGTATGAAGTTAGAAGGAACATGTGGGATGCATTAATTAGGTAGTGAACTCATCTATGTACTTTCACTGAGGTTGTACAGTTGTAACTATGTAATATAAAATAATAAAAGAGATTAAACAAAGTTCCAACAAAACCAAATATGAAAGTTATCAGTTCTTACATTACATGCCGAATACAAAGTAATATAAAACAAATGAGGACAAGTAATATAAAATTGAAAGACAAGTAATTCACAACCCCATCATCGCCTTCCATTCATCTCGGAGCTGCTCAGCCATTGCCCCTGTTCCACGCGACAGGTTGGGATACTCCTCCAGTGCTCTGTTGATAAACTCCATGGACTGACCCATCCACTGCAAATAAGAAAACAACATATTATAGAAATTACAGTTTTTGGAAGTCGTATTAATAGTATAATAAAACACAACTACTTACGTAATCCGTGTTAGTCCTCTCAGGTAGACTGCTACTCCCAGCTGATGACCCCTAGGAGATAGACGAGGATGAGAAAATCCGTACAGCCACTGCACGTAACCAGGAGCGACCGTAGGAGCTCGACTACCAAGTCTGGTGAGGGCACCTAAAACAACAGTGAAAGACGAACCAGGGACAAACCGAGTCCACATCACAGATGTCATCTCGGTCGGAAAGTCTACCCGATACATCTTCAAGTTCATCGGTCTCATGGCCTTCTCAGGCATGATAATGGTCCTTGGAATGTCCTGGATAAATCCAAGTTGTCGAACCACTCGATCAGGCATGTATGGCTCAATGATGCTACGATACTGGATGCAGCCAATAACTAGAGTAGGTGGCACGTGTCGTGCAGGATCAACTCCGTATGGGAGCCAGTTATCCTCAAGGTCAGTCAGCTGATTCAATCTAGCACAAAAAGCGAGGAGGCGCTCCATGCTCTTGTTAGGGCACCCCGGTCCAACATCTCACGCAGCCGCACGAGGAATACTAAGCTCCCTCGTCAAGGTACCCTGCTGAGGCCGAAAACACGGAAAGTACTCGTAGATCCACGCTTGCAGAAGCGTGAGACAACCTGCGATCGAATCAGCATCTTTTTGCGATGCCGTACCCAACTGAACCACATGTAGGCTAGAGTAGCTGAACCCTAAGAGTACTCATTAATCGGGAGATCATCAACAACAAGCTCGTAGAGGAAGGAAGGATGAGTGCGGTTACCACTCTTGTCCAAAAACAGTGCTTTGCTTAGTACTAACCACATGTAGACACTGTAATGGACACTGAAGGGCCTCTGCGCCTCCAAAGTCGTATCCAAAATCCTCTCGGTTAGCACCCCACTACCCTGCCAAATGGTTTTAGTACCGCACTTCTCATTCAACTCTTCCGCAGTCATACCTGTTTAGGGTAAAAATACCCTAGCCACGTGGACCAATCAGTGCGTGACACGTGTCACCTTCAGAGTGGCTCTTAAGAACCAATCCCCTCTGGACACGTGGCACATGCTTCCATAACCTATAAATAGGGAGATGTTTCCCCATTGGAAACCATTCACATTCAATACCAACCAACCGACATATTAATTGCATAACATTTACTCCCGATCTCGTAATTCGAGAAGATCATTAACTTTCGCATTTATTACAGACTCCATTCCGGTTCTAACTTGATCGTTGGAGGCGGAACTTCCCCATCCAGAGTCTCTGTTGTTTTGCAGGTACAGACGTCCGGATTCCAGTCTTGGTGTTGTAACTCTCCCGAAGGACACAGAAAACCCCGAAACATTTGGTGCCGTCTGTGGGGAGAGTACTTCTAAGATGGCATCTAAAGAATCTGTACCGCTTGCCGAAGGCATGCGGCCTACGGTCAAAGTTGAGGTCCAAATGGACCCAGATAGTGATGACGACCTTGGGGTCGACACCTATGTGGCCCCAGACGGGTCATTCAGGACAAGACGCACCCGTTCCAAGGAAACAACGAAACGGGGCAAAGACAAGGCTGGCCCAAGCAATCCAGCCGGTATACTTGGTGGACAACCCCAGGCGGTGGAGGGTGCCATTTCCGTCACTCGAGACGAGTTTATGAAATTCATGACGAGTTTCAAAGGGGAGATCAAGGACCTCTTAAACAAGAGGACTGGTGGCTTTAGCAGGGATCAAACAGCTAAAAAGCCTTCTCCCATAGGGAAGAAGAAGCCAGTTTAGGACCGTGTCCCTACTCCCCATCCCAAGCCAAAGGAGGGGAACCGGCCCTTTGGTGACCTAACTAAGATCTGATTTCCTGAATTCAAGGACTGTCTGACGAAGTGGCTTACACAGACTTCCTTAAGGGTCTGAAAGACGGATCAACCTTCAAGTTTGATCTCGTTCGAAAAAGGGTCGTGACCCTACAGGAGGCTTTGATGGAAGCAAAAGCCTACATACAGGCTACTGAGCTGTGCGCCATCAAACAGCTGTCAGACTCCAACTCCGACAAAAAAGAGAGTCGGTTTGCTCAGCCGGCTAAAAAGTAGGAGAACAAGAAAAGAAAAGAAGTCTGGGTGGCGGACAATTCTGGTCAGCCATCCTAGAAGTAGAAGAAGGAGTTGAAACCGTACACCCCCAAGTACGAGTTCAACAAGGACGGTTACTCCATCCTCATGGAGATCAAGGACCGGGTATTTATCGATAAACCGACTGCCATGAAGGGTTCCGTCAAAAATCGGAACAAGAACAAATATTGTCACTTCCATGAGGACATTGGCCACGACACCAATGATTGTTTCAGCCTCAAACGACTATTGGACCGTTTGGCTGATAAAGGAGTACTGAAGTCCTATATTTCAAAGTCCAAGGTGACCCTTAAAGCAAACAATGGACAGGCATCCAAGAAGGCACCCCAATCTGCTAATAATTTGGACACCGATGATGAAACGATCTATACTATAGCAGGCGGCTTTGCCGGCGGGGGTCCTACCATCC